AGTCATGTACAAATCAAATTTTGAATATATAGACTTACTGTTCAATGAGCTGAACAAGGAAAAGGTATGCATATGGCGCAGCCTCTTCATCGTTGACAATAGGTAAAGTATCGATCCATGCTGTGACGACTGCTTGTTGATTCGCAACACCAGATGCATTATAATGTAATATCTTAGCGATGGCAGCACATGCATTTTCCGTCGCGTAAACATCATCATTGCCTCTAGCGTCGGGAATTTGCGTAGCATCAAACAAAAGCTGAATCGTGTTGCCTACAAACTCGGTCCAGGGTGCACCTCCTCTGTGGGCTGCGACACCAATACCATAAGTAGCTGCTTGACGATTGGCGGGAGCAGGATCTTGGCACCCAGCAATTAAGGGACCCTTGATAAGGGGTTCCATATATCTAGCGCTCTCTGCACCGCAGAACTCGAGAACATCATCAATGATACACAATCCCCATTGTCTTTGTGTGGGATCCTCGCTTGAGAGAAAGGCGGAGTATGTTGTGAGAAGTTTCTGCCACGATTCCAAGAAAGCAGGACCGTGGTTCTTGAAAATACAGTGGAATGCTTTGTTCATGTCGGAAAGCAGAGTTTGATCGTCTTCAATAGCATAAAGTGTTTCCTCGGAATCTTCATCACCTTCTTCTCGGTTGGCATCAGCTCGTTCTTCCGCTCTAATCTTAACGCGTTCTTTGTAATCTTCTAGGGCAGAAATAGCAGAATCCATGAATAGATCCATTTGCTGCCTAGGAAGACAATTCTTGCCCATCACTTCCACCGACTCGTAAAAGCATTGATACATCTCAGCAAGTGTATCGATAGCTGGTTCGGCACTCAAAACCTCGAGAACCTTGGGAATTGTTGCTCCCCAAAGGTCTCTTAGTTGAGAGGATTCCGGACCGTATGCTTTCTTGTAGGAATTGAGTAATTGCGGTACACACTTCGCCGAGACCACTCTAACAGGATCATGGAAGAAGAACGCGAGACCTGGCAAGGCAATGTTTGCCATAACACCCTGCACGTAAGGAGCAAAATGGGCCTCTAAGACTTGAGCGTAGACTACCAAGAGCTCGATTGCCATGTGCTTGTCATCAAGAGTGCTAGTTTTGATACCGATAACTTTGCCCTTGAGTGGGACAAGCTCCCAGCCTTCTTGTGCCTGTACGGCCTCAACTTCATCTTCATCATCAAGAAGTTGAATATCTGCTTTAGCACTTGCCAACTCCAAAAGAGGAGGCATGACGTATTCAAGATATGCGAGGAAGTCGGTTCCCATAACCCTACACATACGTCCCCAGCAGTGCATGAGGTATTGAGCTTGTGGGTCATCCGAATCCACAATGCCTTGCTGAACAGTAGCCAGTAATTTGACCAAGTCTATTGCGTCGTTGCCTAATCTCTCTCTTCCCACTGCCAAAGCGATTAGAGTAGCGCATTCCATTGCCTTTGCGCGTAGCAAACGAAGCTCCTTTGTTGATTCTGCCTTCAAAACATTGAAGAGGATGGGCATCAAGGTATCGTAGTATTTGGCAAAGGCGGCCTCGGCGGAGTCTGCGATGGTTGCGATTGTGGAAAGAGCTTGTTCTTGAACATATCTCTTTGGGCTTTGAAGGAGCTGGAACAAGTTACTCAATAAATCGTCGAGATATGGTTCGAGAGTCTTCTTTTCGGCCTCTTCGCAGAAATTGACGAGAGCAGCTGCTGCGTGAGCTTGGACACGTGGCTCTGGGCTCTTGAGAACAGGGATAATGCTGCCTACTACAATTTCGTGGTATAGACTCTGCATGGTTCCTGCAAAATCGGTGCTCATTTGTCCAAGAGCATTGCAACCGGCCCAACGCACACGCGGATGCTGATCGCTCAAAGCAGGAACAACAAGCTCTAGAACTTTGCTCAATTCTGCGAGCATCAAATCCCTGCAGCCTTCTGAAATTGCTGAGATGGCCATCAATGCAGCATGTCTATCCCTCCATGCTTCGGAAAGCATCATTCTGGGTAGCCAATTAAAGGTAGGTGCCAGGATAATGGATCCTCCGAGCTTGTTTGCCAATCGATCCATACACTGCTCGCCAGCAACGTGATTCAAGTCACTCTCCTCTGGATCCATCTGTTCAAGTCAGTTAGTGGTTTGACAAATTGAGGGGGGATATTCGTACATCATCTGAAGCATTCCATTCGGCTGCATCATCGTCATCCTCGCCAATATCAGTCATGAGACTCAGGCATTGAGTAATCATGTCGGTTACAAAACTCGAATCTTTCTTCACCATAGCTGGAGCATAATCGGCAAATGTTGCCATGAGCTCGAGGGCATTTTGGCGAACCACGTCGCTCAACTCCTTCTCCTGAATTGTTTGAATGCAGAATGTTACTAGATTGTGAAATAATGGTTTAAACATTTTCGGAGCAACCTCTGCAAGGGTCATGAGTGAAATAAGTGCTGTGCTAAGACTATCCGAATCCAGACTTTCCTTCAAGGGTGGTAGGATCGAGAGGACTTCTGGAATGAGGCCATAATATTTTAATTGCGACTTCTTGCCGAGACTGGAGAAAAATGATGTAAATGCTTCCATAGCTGCCAAGCGGACCTTGTTGTTTTATTAGTGATTGTCCTGTATCCTCAAAGTCAAAAGGACTCACTGCAGTTTCGGTATCCTGAAAACCATTCTTAAAAGCTGTTAATACTGTATCTTCATGTTGCTTCTCGATGATGCCAGGAGTCGTAGAGAATATTCTGAATGCTATTTCTCTCTGTCCGGCTAATTGTGAAGAACTTAGAGTCGAGAGAACACCCAGGATTTCTGGCCATTGTTCACCTATAAAATGTTAGATTGACTTTCCGAATTATTTCCTGCGCCCAAGTATCATACCATTATCAGAGTATTCTCTAGCTATTTCGGCGACCGCATCTCCAATCTTATTTCTTACTGGATTCGACTTCTCCAGACCTAATGCCTCTATGAGCTTTTGTCGGATAACATATGCTTCTTGCTTTGGAATAGCGAGAAATAATTCGATCGAGTTGTTCTCGTCTGTCTTGCGAGACTTGGATGCTATACGACGGAAGAGCACTGCAGCAAAGGATCGAGTCTATAACATGATTGAAATTAGAGACACAGATCTTCAAGTTTGATATTGAGGACTAGTAATGAATCTTACAGTTGCATCGTTGGAACCATATATTTGCTCAACCAAGCCCATCAACAACATTTCGGGTTTGGTGGCTACCCAGTTGTTGTTCAAGTGCTCTTCAGCCTGGGTGCGAACATTATTGTCGGCAGATTGTAGAGCAGACAGTAGCTGTGCAAGCTCTGCATGTGCATCTGCTGGAAGAACAGACATGACGGTGGAATGTGGGTGGGAAGACTCGACGGGTTCCAAAGGATACGAGGGATCGGAACGTTGAATATTAAGGAAGAAGTTATAAACTTGGGCGCGAGGCGCATTCAATGCGCCTTGATTCCTACGAAGTCGAGGACGGAAGATAATTATTGTACGAAATGATAAAAAAAAATCGAAAGCGTAACGATTTGTAGGGAGGGAAAGAAAGATTTCTTTATTTAGAAAGTTGACGTTGGATAAAGTTGTGTTGTTGTGGTGGGGGTTTGGATTTTAGATTTTGGAATTTAGAATTTTAGAAATCCCTCCCAGTTTTTTTTGGAGATCACCAAACATTTAATAAAGTGACTCTCGCGCTAAAATCTCGGATCCATCCAAGTGGTCTCTACGATAATGGCAAATGAATGAATGAATGAATGGCCTTGTCAGCGAACACTACAATTGAATGAAGGAACGAAGGAATGAATGAATGAATACCAACAGATACACGGTAACCGTACTTCTTGACGGACCCTTGATCCTGTTGTTGGATATTCCCACTGTGTATGTGTAGGTATATGTTATGTCCATTATCACATTACAGCTACCGTACCTAGGTACCTATTCATGTCTCAGTCTTCTCACGGGGTTTATTGTGATTCCATCCATTGACGATTCTAGAGTCAGGAGTCAGGATGCCACGACCTACGCACCTAGTAGGTTACCGGTTAATTACGACTTGTTTCTCGGAATGGCAATGCGTCTCCTCTATTTTCTAATCTAGGTCCCCCTCCTTGGAACCCCTTGCTGATGAAAGACTTGTTGATCGAGACGCCGATGTTACTAGGTATTCTCCTTCCATTACACACGTCGTAGGTAACTAGCACCTCTCTATCCAGCCAGTAAGCCTCATCAATCTATATCATCCTACTTACCCATCAGCCTTCAGCCTTCAGCCTTCTTTCGAGATCAACGCGCGCACCACTGATCCTTAATCATGAAGAGTACCTAGGCACTCTAGAGAGTACGCAAGGACATTTGATAGCTATGAACGGCCTTGCTTCCGGGTTCGTGTAGCGTGTCCGTCGCCCCTCTGATGATACCTAGGTAACAAAAGTGTTGGCTGGCAAAAGGTCAAGGGTCTGGTACATTTGATACACCATGAATGATATGAGTATATGGAGAGCAAGGGACAACGGAATAGAACAGGATATAATGCACCTAGGTAGGGAGGAACTACTCATCATGAACATAACTACTGGTACCTGTGTGATGGTCGATAAATATTACACTCAAATACTCATTCCTCTCTTCTATCCCTCCCTTGAAACATCTCTCAATGGTCCCATTCGCAAAATATCATCAGATTTGGTAGTAGATATCATCCCTTTACCTCGCAATTTACAGCAAATCAAAATTTATATTACTCAAACAGTCATCATGACCAAATTTACCCCAATTTTTTAGATCGTAAGGGATCTTAGCGTGTTGCTACCCCTCAATCCATGTTCGCTATGATCAGCATTCCCATCTACCAGTATTCTCCAACAACAATCAAAATCAAAATCAAAAATCATCAATCCAGTAGATTAAGATCACGACTCATACAATCCCAAAGAACAAACTACATACTTAGGTAGCGATACATTCAAGTCTCATATTAATCTTTCTCTGCCATGGCAGATCGTACAGTTTTTGATCCTCCCCCGAGGCAAAGTACTTCTTCACCTAGTAATAACAATCCTGCGAACATCAATCATCGTTCTAGCTTCGCCGAAAATCTACGACAATCACCAAGAGCTCAAAGGCATCCATCATTCACACAAGCTGCGGTTCAAGAGCTGCTAAACCATCCCCCGGCACAAAAAGGTGGAGATCCAAAATTCGCAGGAAGGGATTGGAGACAAATTCACGTCGGAGAATTGGTACAGGAATCTGACATTCATTGGTGTGAACTTGATACAGATGTTGAACATGCGACAAAGGTTTGCATAAATTTCTTCATAATATTTACTTTGAATATTAATCTCTTCGATAGGCGCTCATAGAGTCCGGCCCCCCAAATGTCATTCTTATCCGCGAAACTTCAAATGACGTGACTGCTTGCGATAGCTTCGACTACAATGACCTCAATGCATACCTACTTGTAGTTCTTGGACTAGCAAGCCCCGATGAAGGACAAACAGATGCATATTCGCAATTAGCAAGCAAAGCTCGGGAACGCGCACCTATCCCACTTCGAGATATCATAACACTTGCCAAAAAAGAACCTCTGACAACACTTTCCGAATCGGAAGACCTTTCGAAAGCCGTAGAGATATTTGGCAGTGGTGTACATCGTATTCTTGTCTGCAAACCAGGCACTACAACAGTTGTGGGAATTTTGAGTCAGTTAAAATTGGTCAAATTCTTATGGGATAATGGTAGTAGTTTTCCAGCCATCGATCAGTTATATCCAACGATTCTGAGGGATTTGAATATTGGAACGCAGCACGCTATCGCAATCAAGTGAGTTCTCAGTATTCTCACAGCACAATTTCTGCTAACAAGGATATAGTGGTGATAAGCTTCTCACAGATGCTCTTCAGCTCATGAGCAACGAAGGATTGACCAGTATTGCAGTGGTTGACAACGCTGCAAATGTTGTTGGTAACATATCAACAGCTGACACTAAACTTCTTACACACACAAGTAGTCTACCTCTCCTTCAATCCTCTTGCATACATTTCATCTCTGTCATATTGAGCGAACGAGGAATTGGTGATGGAAAGGATTCCTTCCCAGTCTTTCACGTCAACCCATATTCGACTCTCGCCCATACCGTAGCAAAACTTGTCGCGACCAGGTCTCACCGTATGTGGGTCGTTGAATCGGCATCTCCATCTCCATCAGCTCCTGCAACCCCATCCCTCGCGCATGCCTCTGTTGTTCAACAACCAAGTGGCAGTGGTTCCGTGCCACCCTCTCCTTCATTCCCTGCCGTATCTGCCGCAGCTTTACCTGGTGCACGTATCTCGGGTCGTTTGACAGGTGTGATTACTCTATCCGATATTCTCAATCTCTTCGCTCGTACATCAGGTCTCAATCCCTTGAATCCAAATGAATCTCGAGCGAGAAGAAGAAGGAGCTCAAGTTCTTCTTTAAGACCAAGTATAGATTCATCGAGAGGAGATTATCTGGATACAATACGAGGCGAGCGTGGATCAAGCGTAGATAATAGGAAATGAGGAATTATGTGACGAAAAGTGTGCGGGGTTGAATTTTCGATATGAATAAAGAAAGTGGGAATGAAACGTCAACTTCAAACCCCGCCTGTCACCGGGAGGCGTCATCCAAAGAAGAAATGATTCGGAGCGGATTACATAGGAGTAGTCATACAACATGCTGGGCAAAAGTCCGAAAGATATACGCATGGTTTAGAATGAACAGCAGATTTCGAATTGAAATGCGTAAACGACGACCTGAGAATGCCCCCCAAATAATGAGAGTACCTAGATCCAAGGTGCGTTCGATCTTTATAGTGAGCAAAGCGTCATTTTGATAGGTTGCGATTTCTCTTTTTTTTTCTTTCACGCGCGTGCTCTTTTACTCTCTTCCCAGGAGTCGCATTACATGATCGAATTGAATTGGAATTGGGAGATGTGGAAATGTTCTTAGATACCTTCAGTCGTAGCAATAACACATAATATGATTCAAGAAATTCACATTTTCACTGCATCAAGTTCAAATTTTATTACATCGGATACTTATTGATTATCGAAACTGTGGAATTACACATGTAGATACTTAGTACACAAATCACTCTGTCATATCCTTGTGCTTCTGCTACTGCTTATGATCACGCTCACGCTTTCTCATGTTGGGTGATCATCATCATTATCCTTCAACATCAAAAAATGCGCACTGCATGCCTTGTGAAGATGGCTCGTTTTTCGTTTTTCCTTCTTGATCTTTTGGGTTTGAGTGTGTAGGTGCTGGTTTTTGGTGTCTCGAGGGCTTTTTGAGGTGGGTTTCGGAGATGGGGGGGGAAATGGGAGTACTTCACTTGTCTTGGGAAGAGGGAAGAGGGAAGAGGGAAGAAGAAAAAAAGTCTAGAGTTCTTCTGTTGGAGAGGGGAACTGAGAGGAACGGGGGGAGGGGAAGGAAAAATGAAACTTATTGTCGTTGTTGTTGCTATAGGAAAGGGATTATGGGGGATGGGTAGAGGAATAGGGATAAGGAGGAGTATAGATTTTGGTGGGATGAAGTGGGAATGGGGTGATAGATGATGGAAACGTATGGGGAGAGGAAGCGAGATAGGGGAATGGATCAGGGGGAGGGATTAAGAGGAGGAATGGAGAGAAAGAATGGAGAGGCAGGATAAAGCAGTGACTTGTTGGTTGTAGTGTTCTGGATGGATTGAATACTTGTAATGAGTAATGAATCGATGCAGGAAAGGAAAACTTAACTTGACTTCCATTCTACTACCCTATCGTTTAGAGCTGCTATGTTTGGAGCGGATGATGTGAACTAAATGGATTAATTTCTCGGATTGATTTCTCGTATGCCTGGTTCTCATCACCTATTAATTGGTGCCCGCATTGTGGAAATCATGATGATGTTGCGGCTTCATTTGGAATAAGTTATAGTCGGATAAATCTCGGTGGTGGCTTGTTGGCTGTGAACTCTTGGTGAGGTCACACTGGTTTGTTTGGTTTGCGGAATCGACTCCGTGCGTCTTGTGTGCGATGAGTAGAGACTGACATCGATATCGACATCTTCGGTATCCATTCAATTGTGTCCTATCAACTCTTCAATCGTCACATCCTTTCAATTCGAGTATCGATACAATCTTTTGGTGATGGTATTTGTTCGACACAATCATATGAACAAGGAATTCGAGTCTAAAGTCGGTGATGAGTTTGAGCTGCCACCATTCAACGCCTTCGACCGCATCTTGTTTTCTTCCACGATAATGGTCGGTATGTATAGATGACATTCTGAAGAAAAGTTATCAAAGCTTTACTACGTCGTGGTTTCTCAAATCTTTTCCTTATCAAAGTTCAATGCTAAATGCAGATAAAGTGGATCAATGACCGAATGTCCCGTTGTACCCGACAGATCTTTTCTGCAAGAAGCTTTGGTGATAGGGAATCCCAGATCTAGCAGGTATTCATAGAATTTTTTGAACTCCTGACCCAAACAATTATTAAGTTGGAGAAGTTCGAGGTTCGATCTAGATTTTCCATGTCGAGCAAGTACCGAGGACACCTACCTTGATATTGAAGTTATCAACTTTATCAATTGATGCAATAACAACATTGATACGCATAATTATATATATATATCACGTATTGACCTCCTGAAAAGAGTATTTCTTGATAAGCATTAGAGAAGCTTTGGTGAGCGATTTTGCATTCTTTACTGAACAGGGGTTTCGAAAGTCCTACATGAGACTTCGGCCAAATTAGATTCTATCCCGGAGGCGCAAAATTTCATTAAAACATTGGAGTTGGACCCAAATCATTTCCATTGAATCAATTCTACGACATATATTGAAAGGGAAAAAAAGAAAGGAAAGATGGATAATCAATTATTGAACCCACCAACCGAATCGAATCAACAAGTTCAGCCGCAACCTTTTGCGGGAGATCAGCAACTCGATCCCAACTTACCAAACCAACAAGGCTCTGACATCCGACCTGATATCCGACCTGGGCGGCAACGGGTCAAACGTGCATGTCAACCTTGTAAATCAAGAAAGAAGCGTTGTGATGGATCGGAGCCTTGCGCTACGTGTATTCGATACGGCTACGAATGTCATTATGAACTCGGTCCGAGGAAACGGAGAAGACATACCTTGAAAGATCACGACACGGATGTTTCTCAAAGTCATAGTTCACCCGATGCGAGCATTCATCATCGAGATGAACGGGAGAGAGCAGATAGTGAAAGTGCCCATGTCCCTCATACCAGTGGTGCCAAAGATACAAATCTTTGGGGAAAGGCATTTGCGGCTTCTTTGGCCTTGAAATTGGATGCCGGGAAGTTAAGTAAACCTCATTTGGCTTGGAATTTGGGTCTTAAGGATGAACAATCATATGCTCAACCGCCGATCACGAGAGTGATAGGTCAAGCTGAGATGCAGAGACTCACAAATCATTATTTTGATACTACACATCAAATCTTTGGAATTTTCAAGAGAGATCTATTTAATCGGAAGATCGTGGAGAGATGGGGACTGAATCTCGAAAACTCTGATCCGCATGATCCCATCTTGTGTGGCGTTGCTGCATTGGGATCTCTGTTTTCGGGTGGCAATCCAAGTCCAGTGGAGGCACAATTGGTAGAATTGGCAAAGATGGCTTTGGAAACGACGAGTGTGTTGAATTATCCTTCTCGGCATCATGTCGTCGCGTGGGTATTAAGGACACTCTTCCTGAGATGTACAGCTTGTCCTCATGCTGCATGGATTGCCAGTTGTACGACAATGCACATTATTGAGAGTGTAGGAATGGAAGATGATTCGGATAACAGCAGTAGCGACGCGGAGCTCGAGAGAGGAATCGGTTGTGGCGTCTTAAATATGCAGAGATTATTTTGGATTGCGCGACTGATGAATTCATGGGTTGCAAACGATTATGGTCGATCGAAAGTCACCGTGAAAATACCTACACCTCCTTTTCCTGAGCCTGAAGGTGAAGCGGATATCACACTCGATTATCTCACCTTGTTTCAGGTATCGGAACGGCTAGATCAAGATACGAATCATACGGCTGCAGAATTCGAAGCGGGTATAGAATCGATTTACAGATTTCACGCCCGATCAGATGGAGCAACTCTTTCACAAACGAACTTGGTTTTAGGATTATACCGCCGGTTGCGTCTCCTAGCCTCGACTATATCACAAGATACCATTTCTCAGGTGATATCTATTGGTATCAAAGGCTTAGGATCCGTAATGAGAATGGTAGAGAGTCGTCAACCTTGGTGGCACGTTGCCAATATCCCCTTTCAATTCGTCTGTATCCTCCTCGTCATCGATACGCCCGAATCACTCTCACACATCGGCGAAGCTCTCGAAACTCTAGATGCAGTATCCCGCTGTTTTACCACTCGCTCACTTACCGAATCTGCAGCAACAGCTAGAACGCTAGTGGAGTTGTCTCAAAAGAGGAAACAGGAAGAAATTAATATTTTGGGTCAGGGTCTCAAGACGAGGGTGGAACCAATGCAGACTAGCCAAATGCCAATTCCGGGTATGAGCGGTAAACAGATGATGCTGGCGCCGACGATGATGGGAAATGCAAATGTGAATGGAAGTGGGAATGGTATGATGCCTGGAATGCCGAATATTGGTTCGATGGATTTTACGGGGTTCGATTGGGATTCGTTCTTGAGTATGGATATTCCGGTGTTGGATGCTACGGCGATTCTTTGAGGGCGAGGTGAAGAGTTTCGGATGTAGTATATTTTTGGAGAGGGAGGGATTTGACGTTGTTGAGTCCCTTTCCCGCAGAGCTTGAGAGGTCGGGACCGGCAAGAAACTTCCTGCTAGATAGTAGGGTCGAGAATGAACTTGATACTTCAGAATAAAACACGCATAAATAACGAGGAGAAACATCTTTTGAAAAACTCAGTAGGAGTATGTCATCCGAGTCTAGCTCACAAAACAAGAGTATAAAAGTTCAAGTACACACATACATACATGCATGATGCTGACTCCGATAGTGTTGAGTACGATTGAGACTGTGAAATAAATATATGCCTACTGAGTACCTCCTCCCTCGGGTAAGTTGGTGTAAGGTATGTAATGTATATCAACACACACAGCATCGGTTGGATATCAGTCCTAATCTCCGGATGGTATAATTTCTTCAGTAGAATCGATAGTGTACTCATACTTTGGGATATGGACTGGGGATTGGGGTTAGGAGTAATGGATGTAGAATTGGAACAAGTGGATTGGAGGTGATGGGATTTGGGGATTTTGAAATGGTCTTGGAGTCGGGGTTGGGGACTGGGATTGGGATTGGGATTTGGTATACTGCTTAGCTTGGTGGATGAATATTTTCGGAGAAGGAGGAGGAGGAAGAGGAGGAGAGGGAATGAGATAGGAGGGGTTTTGGTAAATGCTGGATTCGCTTTTTGTTAATTCATTGTGTTCTGTTTATTTTGTAATCTTGGAGCATCATTCATCAGATATTAAATATCAAAGACTTGATACAAAATATCACATCTCAAACCT